CGAGTGCGCTTCTCTCTCTCTCTCTCATGTTTTTATATTCGTGAATATCGAGATTGCATCTTGATTGCAGTTTCATGAATATAATTTTTCAATGTCGAATTATTTCGCTATGAAGTTCAGAAATTTTTCTATGAAGTCTGAATAGATTCAGTTTCCAGTGCATATGTTTGGATCGAGCCAAACTTTCACAAGTGAAAATAAAGCAACAATCACAAATGCAATATGCCAACTGGAGAAATCGTAAACAGAAACTGTCCTCGTTTGATGATACTCGGGCAAGTGTCACCGCACCAATGAAAGCGGGGACTCGTTTGCTTGATTGGATCACATCCACCATCATATTGCAGTCTTGCGGCATGCGTTGCAGCAGCAGCATGTCAGTTTCAGTTTGTCCAAGGTTGTCATGTGAACGTTTTTGCGGGAATTGTGTGGAGAAGGCAGTTCATATCGCATGTGCAGCAATAATCTTGTCCTTCGAAGTTTGTGCTATCGCTTGACGCGAACAAGCGGAGCCTTGAGAATTGGCATGACAAACGATATTGTTTCTGATCTGAAGAAAGCTCGAAGCTTTTGCTATTACTTGAAGCTTCACCGCAAAAATAATTTTTATCAGTTCTGAGTCTGCAGTATTGAACTGTTACAGCATACATTACATGTTTCCTGGGCCATGGCGGAGATTTCAGTCAAGCTTCGTGCAGGATCACGTGCAGCCAAGGCCACAAGCCGTTGCAACTTTGTTCGAAGCAAGTGCCTTTGTGCAAGGCCAGCGCAGTCGCCGGAGCCGTTTGTTGAGTTTTGGCATAATTGATCTGTGGACGAGATTTTATTGCGCTCAGGCCAAGAGGTCAGTGCATTGCACAAGTTTGCAGTGGGAAGCGTCGGTTATGTGTTGGGATGTGATGTTCCATGGTCGTGTCGTGTTGATGCTGTGTGTTCGAGAATACCGATGCTGTTGAACTGACAGCAGTCTAAGGCCCATCGCTAGGCACAAAACCGCGCCTGTTTGCTACCTTTTCCAAGATTTCCGCAGCCTACTCATGTCATCCAGCTGGCAGTCGTAACATCAGCCGAGAATCAGTGATGCAGATTCATCGTGTGAAGTCCATTACCTCTTAGTTTCCTCTCTTGTTTCCAAGGTGTCGTTGGTGGGAGCTCAACATTGGGACATTGGGATCCCAAGGCTTCTCCCAAGCTAACACAAGTCTTGTCACCCGTCAGCATTTTGTCACCCAAATCATCTTTTGAAAGTCTTTTCAACCGACTTCGTAGAAATTTGTTGCTCCGCTTTTTCTTGAGGAACGACGTCCTGACCTGGGAAGGCGTTGTGGCCGATGCAAAGCTCTGCACTGGCGAGCAGTTCAAGTTCTGCATATGGAACGGACAGACACATGAGTATGTGTGGGAGGAGTCTGGTTCCATGCATGCCATGCCAACGGTTGGTCTACGCATCTCAGCTGTAGCTATTTGCGAGCTCTTATGCCCTTATGTTCGTGTAGAATTTTGCCATAGGAGGGTGCTTGCGACATGTAAGTATATGCTGGACTTCAAGGGTGGTGGTGTTGAATTGGGCTTCCTTTGTTCTCTGGTCTCTGCGCTTACAATCAAGGCATCGTGAAACATTCACATCTAGAAGGAGTGCTGTCAAGAGTGTTGAACGGCAGGAGCATGAACGCCTGACTGACCCTTCAAGGAATGGTCTCGGGGACATTGGGAAAGCCTGATCCTGCAAGTTTGCACTCGCTGTGTGCTTTGCTCGACCGTTTGCATGCAACCTCGCATTGTAGCAGCTTCAAAGTCTTGAGGACGAAAATGCGAAAGTGCTTGTTGCCCAGATACTTGTAGAGGCAAGACCTTTCTGGGGCAGTAGACTTCTCAGAAGCAGAAGCTGCATACCCTCCACAGGAAACATGTCAGTCCCGAGGATTGCAAGCAGTTTTTGAAGAGGCGTCATCCGATACCACATCCAAGTCAGCCGCAGTGCTTTCTCCTTCGGCGCAGACGGAGAAGCTCTGGAAAGTGGTGGGTGGCAACACCGGGGGAGTTTTGGTGCGAGACGGCTGCCCGTTGACATCAACGGAACTGGGGCGACTGAGCACAGGGTCGCTCGTTCAGGAGCGGGGACTTTGCTGTTGCCGAGCATTATCGGCTTGCGGCAGCACGTTGTCATGAGACCTTCGTAGGAAATCCAGATCATCAACGACAGACTGCATTTCCAGAAGCTGTCTGGTGATGGCCCTGCTCATGGCTGGATCAGCCTGCGATTGAAGGGTAAGGATTTGGTAGCAAGAACCTCTCAGGTCCAGAGCGAGTTGGGTACCAGAAGCAACGAGCAAGAGAAAGTGGAATCGGGAAGGCAGACGCAGTCAGCAGCGGCGACCGTCGGAAAGTTGAAGATCCAGGTCACCGTGGCCGCTCGAACTAATCATGGGACTGGGGCATGCTAAAGTATGTCGTGGCCACTGCCTAGGTTCGTCTGCACGGTAGCAGCCACAACAGCTCGAATTTGCTGATGTGCTTCACCTTCAAGGATCATGCTCGGTCACCGAAGGCTGCTGAAGCTGGAAAGCTTGACAGCGCAGCTTGCTGTCTGGTCGGTGGCATTCCTGCGCTTGGTTCGTGGGACCCCAAGCAAGCTCCGAAGCTTTCCCAGCGACGTTTAGATCGTTCCACGACCATATGGGAAGGCTGTCTCGATGGCATAGAGGACGGATGACCTTTCACGTTACACTGGGGTCAGTGCAGGTTTCAGATCTAGGAGCCAGTAACTAGTACGCATGCTGACACTAGACAGTGTCGGAGGTGGATGCTGGCGAGCAGTACAAGTACTGCATCTTTGACTCGACCAAGCATATTTACGTCTGGGAAGAGTCGGGTCCAATGCACTTCTGGCCAACATCTGCTGCAGTGCATGAGTTTGAAGCACAACAGGCCGGGAGAAGCATCCTTCGGTGGCAACTTGTTTTTCACTAAGATGCTCATGGTATAACGTGACCGCAGGTGGTTTTTGCTTTTAAGGGAGTTCGGTGCAAGACGGTTCAGGAGCAACGAATGTGTTTGTTCTGGACATGCTTCAGGCAAACCGCAAACCGGCTACACTCCAGATGACCGACTGTTTTCAAAGAATACAGTAAGCGGTTGTTACTCAGTAGGTCGTTTCACGGACTTACCTTGCAAAAGTTGTACAATCTGTTGGTGGCTTCGTAGCCACGGTCTAAAGACTCTAAACAGCAAGCTCTTTCATGTGCAGGTGGTCGTTCTACTCATATTCGCAAAACGCCATGCTTCGGCCAATTGTCGGTCCACATTAAGCTGTTGTTCCGCGATCTTCTAACTCGTATTTGTTGCCAATTCTACTGTTTCTGTTGTCGGCGGTGGCTTTGATTGGAGCAAAAGATACAGGTTCACACGGCAAAGCCTGTGCATAGCCTGCAATGACCATGATGGTTGCCTACACCATATCCAGAGAGAAAGTGCGTCCCCTGAGTTTTCTTCACAATCACGAGCTCGTAGACCTTTTTACCAATATGCAGAGAATTGTTTTGCCAAAACAGGGCGTTGCGTAACATGTGAAACGGCATTTCAAGGACGGCTGTACGCAAATATAATTCTGCAAGGGACATGACCGTGTCGGCAGTTTACGGAGGGTGCTAGTATGAGTTTGCCGGCAATGGGCCTGCTGCGACTTAATCTTGCATGTCGTCGAGCCTAAGGCAGGCTTGTTGTTGCTTCCAGAAGCGATTCTTGTATCCACTGTTTTTAGCGGTTTCAATGAACCCTCGAGTGGGATGCATTAACATAAGTTCACGGTCCACGGGTTTGTGTCCAGTGCGTTCCATTTCCTTAGTCCTTCCCTCGTGTTTTGTTTGGATTGGCTCGTCCGTTTCCAGGGCCCCAGCCAACAAGCATCAGCAACGAAGGGGTCATGTTGAATGCTAGGCCTTGCACAAAGCCTCTCGATGCATATTTGTGTATGTAGCTCAAGCAAATTTTTTCTTGACACCCGCGATGACTGCTACTCGATGTCTCATGCCGACCTATTTCTTACTTAGGTTTTTGTTGCAGGTGGAGGCCGCGCCAGTGGCAGCATGGCCGCCACCAACCACTGTACCGCGAAGCGCTCCTGTGGCTGAGTTGGGCTCAGGCGATGCGGTCTTCAGAAAATGTCAGACCAAGGTTGCAATCCACATTTCTTGTTTGACTACCGTAACAAGGCCGGTTTTGGTTTTGGCTTGTCGCCCTCCCGGAGCAGGTGCTGAAATTTGGATCCCGTGGACAGAGCACAAGCGGTCTCCCGAGGCCGAAACGGGGCTCTGACTGGAAGTACAGCCTATTCTTCATGTGATGTTTTGCAGTTGTGAGTTGAATATACACTTGCGTTTCGTCGGATGTTGGAGCCCACAACTCGCAACATTCCGTGAAAGGTGCCGCACAGCATACTCCACGCCTTCCACTGGCCGTTTGCGCTTGCTTCAGAGCGCCTTCGTGACATAGGCAAGTTTCTCTCTTGTCTACTTGGAGGTTCATGGGTAGTTATAAATGGGGTTATAAGTAGGATAACTATAATTATAACCCAGGTTAGGGGACTTATAACCCTACTTATAACTACCCATGACCCTCCAAGTAGGCATGTTTGTTGGTTGTGTGTAGATGTCAGAATGGCAGGAGAGTTGGGCTTTGCAGCGGTCCAAATCAGCCCAGCACAGAAGTCCAAAGCTGGCGGGGAGCTTGAAGCAATGCTTCGCCCTGCTCTTTGTGCTACTTGTGATTTCGCTTAGGTGGCGAGTGGTGGACACGCTACCAGCCCCAAGACTATCTAACCATTGATGGCTTGGGATCTTGGGAAGATTTGCGAAAGCTCAGCAAAGAGGCAGACAGCAGAGGACTTCTCGTCATAGCCGATGTTGTATTCAACCATATGGTGGTGGCTGCCTCATCTCGGACTCCGCATGCACGCCTTGAGGGAGCGACAAAGTGACCCTTTATTTTCGGTGTTCAGCATAAGCTTGTTTGCTCAGGTTGTGGCCAATTGCCAGGAATGGAAAAGTGCACAAAAGTCTCCACAGCAGCTCTCTGCACTGAAACGTCGCTTATCTGACGCTGTCGGTCCCGTTTTTGATGCTGAAGACTTTCAATGGCCTTGGTTCGAGATGAGTGGTGAACATTGGGACAACGACAATCGGTACGAGGAGAGTTTGATCGGTCTTGGTTCGAGAGTGTGCAGATAGGTCCGTGTATATATATATATATATATCTGTATGTTTCGATATGTATATATATATATATAAATATGTATGTATACGTAGGAGAATCATTTGACGATGCAGGGTTGGGGCAACGGCGAATGGTCTGAGCTGCGGCACTGCGAGAAGGTGGTCAAAGTTCAACAGCAGCACTTGCAGCTGCTTTTGGATGCAGGTGCGAGGTGACAAGAGATGCTACGGGCGGCATTTTCGTTAGGTGCGGCTTTGGAGCTGAGGTGTGCGTGGCTTCCGATTTGATGCAGTCAAGCACATGCGTCCCGAGCATCTGGCTGAGCTGCTGTCTTACATTCGACAGTCTGGACAAGCGCGTTTCGCGTACGGTGAAGTTCTGACGCCCGGCCGGGCAGCTACTTTTGCAGATGGCCTCGTGGCCGCACTTTACTGTGTTGCTGGCCCTTGGCTACCCAAGGAGCGTGGATGCCTCCATGCATTCGGAGTACATGGAATCGCTGGCCATGCCTTCGACGGACTTTCCCCTGACTGTATACATGAACCATATTCTGATGAATGGTCAGGAAGCTGCTTCGGAAGATGTTGCTACAGCATGTGCCAAAGCTGCACACACAGAAGGCTGGTGAAGTAGTACCTCGCTACCTTGGTTTTGCTGAACAAACCTTTTAAAGTACTTCTACTGGCCAAGATCCAATGGACAGGTCTGAAGATACGACATGGAGAGTCCGACATGCGTCCCGGTCTGTGTGGAAATTCCATTCGCTTCGCTCGAAACCACGACACAGAACTGGCCTCAGAGAACTTGTTTCAGTGTTTCTCTGAAGGATACTTCATTTCTAATGTTCTTGGCTGGGCTGCATTTCTGTGGACTTGTTGGTTTGACTTCCCCATGTATGCCACTTACCCACATACAAGAAAAACAACTGCGGCTCTTTCTGGGACGTGTGGGACAACACCCTTTGGAAATGTGCTCGGCTGTTTGCGGAAATTAAACGAAGATGTTTGATTGTGGATGCGGTCATCTTTGCAGGTAATGAATCCTGGATCATTTTATGGACTCAGTGGTTCTTGCCTCTCTGCGCGAACCTGCTGGGCTTGGCTCCTCTCTCTTCATGACGGGTCTGTCCTTGTCTTCCCGGAGGACCTGCAGAGTGAGGCCGAACCCCTCATGAGTGCCTCATGCTGCCTTAGTGCTGCACCTGCTCTGTTCACTGTTCATTTCATGCCCTCACAGGTGAGTGCGCCTCTGATTTGCAGGGCTCTCCGATTCCGTGCAAAGCTGGCTAACGTGGCAAGCAGTTCTGAAGTGGGCCTTCTGTATTTGGAAGCAAACGGCCCGCCTGGATTTTTGATGGTAGCTCTGAGAAGTTCGGAGAGGCAAGTGTGTGGGTTGACTCTGATCAATCTGCAGCGCACAGCAGTGAAGGTGACATCCTGCTCTCTTTTCAAGAAGCTAGGTCCTTGTATTTTCCAAGATGAGCAGGGTAGTACCGTGAAGATACATGATGACATCTTGGAGACTGGCGCAGAAGCCGTCTCAGTTCAAGCTTTGGATGCTGCGTTTCTCGTCGCGACGTAAGTGTGGACGCAAAAGGAGCTACTGTGCTGCTTGACCTTTTACGGTTTAACATGAGAGGACATCATGTGGCTCAAGCTGCCGGGGAAATGCAAGGTCATCTTTGTAGACCTGACGGTATGAATCCGTGTAGCAGCCCTTCCGTGTCGCTTCACCTTGCATGGGTGCTATGGCTTGAGCGTGTAGACGGAATTTGGTAGCATTGTGGTCGTCGTCGTTGATGTCGTCGTAGCAGCAGTAGTCGTAGTCGTAGTACTGTCCTCTCGTCAAGAAGCGACACAGCCGAACCCAACTGTGTTTTCAGATTACAACAGATGTTGTAGAGTTGGTGGAGCATGGCTCCAAGCTGTTCATGCAGTGCTGCGGGCTCAGGGGCGTCAGTGCACTCTCTTTGATCTGTGCAATAGTCGCTTGTCATACAGGTGGTCCTTGTGCTGGCGTTGCGGCTATGTGTGGTTCCGGCACGTGTGGCAACTCTCGATGATGAGCTTCGCTTTCATTTTGAGCTGTCCCCTCAGACGGGTCCAAAGATGCTTCTTGCACTGTGGCCATAGAGTCTCTCATTCCAAATGCCAAGCATCCTTCCCAGTTGCGCTACTCGATGCGCCGCGATGACGCCCTCGGACAGAGAAGCCATCAAGGCCATGTACAGGCGTTCAGCTGCAGAAGTCTCGGTACATGTCGTGTGCAGCTTGACATGCACACGGCACAGGGCAGCGGGATGCGACGTGGGTGCGCATGCCCAAGAACTCTTCTAGAGACATGCTTTGTGAGAGCTCTCTGAGACTTCTACCAAGGGCCCTGGAGCACATCCGGTATGTGCTTCCTCCATGGAACAGCAGGAGCCTTATCGCTTGGCCCAAGTAAGCACATCCTTCAGTTGTGTGCGGCCGCTACTGTCCGATCGACGTTGTGCTTTTGTCCAAAGTTTCCTTTGAGCCCGGACTCTTGATGCACAGACGCGGCTTTCCGCTCAGAAAAATGAGAGGAAACGTCGAGCCTGCAACCCGTCAGCGATGGCTGACGGGACCCCGTGAATATCGCAACTCTCAACAGGAGTTGACCCTGATACCACCAGATTGTTGCGTCCTTTTACAGTAATGGAGAAGCAGTACAGTTTTACGTTTCGGAAAGGCTAAGCATAGTCAGGAAATGCGTTCCATTCTCGATTTCTTTGCGGAGGGTTTCCTGTCTTTTCAGTCTTGTGTCAAAGCCGCCTTCCAGAGCATTTTGGCAAGTTTCATTTCGCTACGAGAGTTCTCGTCCGGTCTTGTTTACCGGCTGGCATCAGACGAGAGCTAAACGAGCCTGTGTGCTTAAGTTTTTGGGCTCTGTCTTCCACTGTGTTGCGCTGACATGCGCATCAAAGAGATTCAGAGAAGCTTTCAATTGCCGAAGGCTTTTCGTAGGTATTAGCACGGTATTGAATCCCTCCGTCAAGTCCTCTTGTAATCGGTACCACTCGTTCCGTTGCAGGCGCTCGACTTGGTACCAGGGACTCTTGCGACGGATGATTGTGAGACATGTCTGTGCTTTTGTCATCTGGTCTGCCGATTGTCGTTTCTTTTACATTTGATGTCTTGCTATCTGGCGACTTGAGGAGAACAGCTATGGCTAGCCTTGTTGTCGCTTCTCTAGCGTGTGGCTCTGCTCCTGAATCACGCCAGTCATCGGGGAGAGCAGTTTGGCGATGTTCTGGTTGAGGTCACCTGGTCGTTTCGTGGTTTCCTGGTGATCTCCTGGTGGTCTCGTGGTGGCTCCTGGTGGTCTGTGGGTGGTCTCCTGGTGGTTTTCTCGTGGTCTCCTGGCAGTCGTGGTCGTTGTGGCGGTCATGGTAGTCTGGCTGCTTTTGGTCTAGTACTAGTACTAGTACTACTAGTACTACTGCTGCTACTGCTACTGCTACTGCTACTGTTACTACTGACATGACTGACCTGTTTGTCTGAAAAAAGGGACGAAATCAGTACAGCTTTGTCTGACTCCTTTGGGCATCGAGAACTCGCCTGATGTGGGCCGTGGTGCACAATATAACAACGGCCATCGTGTATCAATAGAATGGCTTTTTGTCGTGAAGCTTCATGCCTTGACAACTTGAGGTTGTGTGTTGGCAGCTGTGGCTCGGCCCTTGGTCCTCTGAGGAGTTGGCAACGTGCCTTTCAGATTTCGGGCCAAAGTCTTATGCTGTCATCGGTTGTGTTATGAGGCTGAGACATCGATTTTATTCTGTACTTCGCTGTTTTCGTAGCAGGCTCTTGTGCAGATTTGCTGCGGCAAAAGTCGCTGATGCTTCGATTGAGAAACAGCAGAGCTGCTAAGACCAGGCGGGGGACAACAAGACATGGTTGGAGACTTGGACGAAAGTGACATTGTCTCGACAATGGGATGAATCTGACGTCCCGTTTCGATGAGGCTACTTTTCTACCTGGTGCATTTGGCCCTGGAGCTGCACCGGCCGCACCCCCGCTTTATGAAAGTTTGCGTCGTGCATCGAATGTGTAACCTTTCAGGTGGGGTCGGAGCCCTTCTCGCTGGCACTGCAGGTGGGAAAGATTCTGGGACTGTCCTATCTTCCATGATTGCCCCGCTTTCGCCGCTCTGCAGCGTCCGCCTGTTCCAGGTTCACCGCGACTGTGCAGAGCGCTGCGCTTCCGAAGGTGGCTGCTTTTTCGAAAGCTGGGAAATCCGTGGCGGTTGGGAACGGGATTAGGTTTCCTTTGACAGGATCGGTTTGCGCATAAATTGTGGACCACGTTTTGCAGGGCTCGGATGGGGGTTCCAGCTCTTTCCGATTGGATTGTCAATTCACTCTTCAATTCGGGTGGGTCCGTCGTCCGACCATGGCAGGCGTCGCAGTTTCAGCGGATTCCGGTGCCGAGAAGGCGGTCGACACGCTTCGAAGATGCGGCGTCGTGCCCTTCAGCTGTTGTTCATCAGTTTATTTAGAGTGCATCGCGATGCTCGCTCATATACAGCAAAGACACGGACAACAAGCGTGAACTAGTCGATACAGTTGAATCTGCAGTTTGAAGTATGAGGCCATGCAAACGGGTCAGCCTAGCCTGTGCCATCTGCCCCAGCGTGACACCTGTTGCATTGCCGAAGCCCAGGCAGCTCCTGGGTGCTTATGATTTGACGGCGTTGGATCGCTTTCAGAAGGCTGCTGCATTCCTGACGCGTCACACCCTGACGAAAGCACCTTTTGCAACAGTCCAGGCTTTTGATCAGCTGAAGTCCAAAGAGAAGGCATACAAGAAGTTGCTTGACACCAAGCAGCTTCATGATGGCCGATATCAGGCACAGTCCTGCAGCAATCTTGTTAAAGATTTTTTTGACGGCGAGCGCCTTGATGCTGTGGCAGGTTTATCTTCCGTTTGCGAAGCCATTTTCTTCACGCGAGACTCTAGGAGTCAGTGATTTGGTGCTGGAGGCTTCAATCTTTGCAAGAAGTATTCACGATACCAATATCCCTGCGCACTTCGAAGGTACTGCATGCCTACTTTATGACAAGTGGGGGCAGCTTTGGCATAGATCACGTTTCGGTAGTTGGCCCAGGTAGCAACTTGTTGAAGAACTGCGCGCCAGTTGGGCTGCCGAGGTGTTGACATCTGCCAGTGGAAGCACGCCGCCAGGGATGCTTGTGTACAATCCACTCTCTTGTTGACAAGATTGTCTAAGCACGAGGTGCTAACCAAAGTTTGCATCCCGACGTGCACTATTTCAAGGCATTTTCAGGAACCATCGGGTGTTGCGGTCGTGGTGACCTGCCCCTGCAGGGCTTGTCAGTCTCGGTGCACACGGCTTTGCACGACATACCTTCATCTTTGGGGCTGCGGTCTTACCCCTCGATTGCATCTGATCTCCATGCTTGTCCCACCAGTCAGGCCGACGTACTTCTGTCCTTGCACTGGGGAATCCCTGACTCGGGAGGACATATCATGTAGTTGCAGCACCATTCCCTTGCGGGGTCGTTCGGTCTTCCGTCAACCAGCACGGCCGTTGTTCGGTGCGCAGCTGAAGGTGGAGTAGCGTGCTGTAAGATGCCACAGAGTGATGGCCGCGAGTCCACGACACAGTGCTTCTTCGTTTCGGCATCTCCGAACGGACTGGTCCCGCAGGACTGGCCAGCCAGTGCTGCCATCAAAATGCGCCAAGGCTGCACCTGTGACCCGGGCTAATGCGTTTTGTGTCTGCACGACAACGTGTGGCCAACGTGTAGTGAGATGTTCCATTCAGGACAATCCTGAAGCGGAAGGACTGATCTGCCCTGAGTCCTGAGACGAAAATAGAGGACATGTCCCTCCGTGTATCAGTACCAAGGTTTGGCAAGATCCTTTGCACCTTCCTTCACCGCGCGCGGAACTGCATCGACCCGAGATTGTGCCGCTCAGGTGAGCCACGTATCACATCTATCATTAGTAGCATTCATTGTTGCGGGTCAAAGGCCTTCGGATTTCTCGATCTCTGAGAGCTTACTTTCAGTTTAAGCTTTTAGCAGGCCGATCAAAGGCCTGCTGTTGGTCATTCGATGTGCTTTGTCAGATGAGCAAGGTCACCATCTATGACGGGGCAATGTTCCATAAGGTTGGGACTCGCATTCTGACCTCATCGAGCATGTTCGAGCTCATGTACTGGCATATATTGGCACTCGTGATATTCTGGGCTCAAAGCCGCGAAGTCTCGCCATTTGATCCTTCCGCGCCGAACGGCGAGAAGGTGCATCTTTGGCTTGCCGTGGATTCGATCTCAGCGCAGCAGTCCGCTCTGTCTTTGTTAGCTGCTTGTTGAAAGAGCTCTCGTGCACATCATCCCTCCTGGCCAAGTGCATGGCGCTTCGACCGTATGGGTCTGTCCGACGTGGCGCGAGTGAATCGCGCCTTTTGCTTGCATCCGGGCATGATCAGTCAAGTGGACTGTTGCAGAGCACTTCAGGTGTTCCAACAGCGAGGACTAGCGGAAGCCGGGTACCTAGACAAGAGCTGTATCAGAGTTGACAGCAGTCACAGACTACATCTGCGAGGCTTCGAACCTGCCAATCTTCCCGAACGGAGTGCTTTAGCTCCTTTCGGAACTATCTTGGGGGGTCACGACCCTTTCAAGGTGCGCTTGCTGTTGTTCCAGGGAGTGTTCACGAGCACGACATCTTCATCAGGACTTCAGCAATGCTCCCTTGGGGGGAGGATTGATGTCGCGGTTCGATCAGATTGCCGCCGTGCACACAGCTCGACTGCAGTGCAGGCCAGCGAGTTGTGCGATTTTCGATGCTGAGGGAGATATGCTGAAGGGATTTCCTGGGAGCCTTCAGATGAGTGGGAGCACTCCAGGCAGGTGAGACGGTTATTTTAGCCTGTAAAGGAGCGTTATCGGCTTTTCATCCCGAAAGGAGCTGCTCCAGGAACTGGCTGCTACTCTTGCCAGACCTTCGTCATGTCCTCTTCTCGAGGTGCAGATGGAAAGGCCTGCAGCCCGCCATGCTTGCCTTGCGTGTGCGATCTTTATGCAAGAGAAGATGCAACGTTGAGGTGCATACAGAAAGATATTCCTCTTCGGACGTTGGCAATGCCCAGCATGGAATCCGAGAGGCACAGCATGCATACTCCAACTCTTCCACAGGTTTGGAGACTTGGACTTCCAAACAAGATCTTCGCTTCTGCCACTCTCCAAGCACAAAGCTGAGGACAAGATGGGTCTAGAACGACACCTAGGCGAGAGAGCTCGGAAGATGGTCAAGGCAACCCTTTCCATGGAGCGCTTGTGCCATCTAGCGCGAAGGCAGGCAAAGCTCAAGACTCTTCTGTGATCTGACACGTTGCCTTTTTGCGGCAGGAGCGCAATCGCTTCACTCAGGAGATTCCCGCTGTTTTGCTTCGAATGGCCGAGACTACATGTGGTCATCATGCTTCAGCACATTTTGCGTTCAGGACGAAAGATGTCATGAAATGCTACGAGGCTGATGTGCTGGAGGTTGTCATGGAAGTACCTACATTTACAGGTATATGCAATACGGTTTTTGGATGAAAGAAAGAAGGTATGTATGTATGTATGTATGTATGTATGTATGTATTTATGTATGTATGTATGTATCTATGTATGTATGTATGTATGTACTGTATGTATGTATGTATGTATGTATGTATGTATGTATGT